GAACAATAGCCGATAACTTGTTAGCTCTAATTGAATTTACTCCAATATAAAAAACAAGTGTTAAGTTACCATTTGTAACTAAAGATAGCAAACATCTCGTGGGGAAGAGTGGTGACGATTCGTCAGCTCTAATTGAATTTACTCCCTTGTGAAAAACAAGAGTGTCAAATTACCCTTTCTAACTAAAAATAAAAATATCTCGTTATATTTGCATGCAACAAGAACAAAACAATCGTCACTTGCACTTACTATTGTAAACGTTAGAACTGTTTCCAATCTAAATAGTCTCGTCTCCTCTAAAACATGTCCTAAGAACTAGAAGCGACGATTAGTGACCTCTAATTGAATTTACTCCTTGTGAGAAACAAAAGTATCAAGTTACCTTTGTAACTAAAAATAAAAATATCTCGTTGTATTTGCATATTACTAACTCACGAACTAGTGTTTCAAACCTCAAGGCTCATCTCGTTCGTAACTAAAATGCTCAGCCTAACCCAGAGAAAGTGTCGAAGTAAGCCCAATATATGAATACTTCCTCCTCTTTATAGAAGAATAAATATGGCCATTCTAAACTGTATCGGGATCGAATCTTCCCACATACCATTTACCTTTACAACAAGAGATTTGATTGGCTGTTATAGTAGATCCAATCTGATTGGTGTGACATACATACATCTCTCTCTCATTTCCAATTGCTTAAATTGGAAAGTTAACTGCGATGATCATTCTTCTCTTTCATCTACAACCGCAGTTCAAATATGAATTATTTCATATAAACTTCACAACGTCGACTGAAGTTTGTAGATGTGACGCCGTGTCCGTGGGATCACGTTGGCCACTGAAAATCGGCTCTTGCTTAATTGAGGACAAGATGTATTTCAGATACGTTTCATAACAACATGCCTCTTCCCGTCCCCTCCCCCGAAGAGCCTGATCATGAGGATAAATAATGATCAGTTTTCCGAGAAGCTGTGAAACTATAACACGCAGCCGAAGAGAGATACTATAAACTAACAAAATGCAGCAAGCCGATCTTCCACAAAGAGTTTCGGTTGGCAACAAAACAGTCAGAATCCAACAGCGACTTGACAGTGGCGCTTTTGGTGTCGTCTACAAAGTCAAAGACGAGGCAAGTTACGAAGTCTACGCGTTAAAAGATGTTCTATGTTTGAATGACTCCGCTCTTCGTAATGCTCTCCGCCGGGCTTCAGCATTAAGCCAAATCTTGCACAAGAACTTGATCATCATTGTAGGGCCGGATGAGTTCCTCTATAGTGAAGGCTTACACATGCTGCTTTTGACTGAGTACTGCTCGGGCGGAAGCTTAAACGACCGTCTTGCTCGATCGAGTAGTGAAGAAATGAATATGAAGTGGATCAGTCAAACAGCCGCAGCTCTTGCCCACCTCCACTCACGCGAAGTGGTTCACCGCGATTTGACCGCAACAGAGGATGTGAAATTGGCTGACTTTGGGCTCATTCGCGAGTACACAGAACTCTGAGTCAAACCAACCCGCATTCTACAAGATGAAAGTTTGTGGATAACCAGTTACGCGCAATACTACCTGAACTTAGGAACTGGTTCCATACATTGGATGGTCCCTGAATTTTTCACCGGCCATTATACAGAGAACGCCCACGTGTTTTCCCTTGGTTCGCTGTTCTTCGCAATTCTACAGCGGGATTTCATCGCGGTTGATGGTAAAACAATTTATGGTACCTTTGCAGAAAATCTTACAGAAGGCAAAGTTGGTCTTGGGTTTGCGATGGAAAAGCTTAATCGTCACATCAAAATTGCATTCTCAAGCTATGCTCGAGGGTCCATGGCTTTGCAAAGGGTCGTTCTTGAGGCTTTGCAGTACGACGCAAACGATCGACCAAGTGCTCAAGAGGTGTATGACAAAGTCATGAAGTCCATGAACATTCGTCAAGGTATAAAGCTCGATCAACAGCCCTCACCTGAAACGGCTTGGTGTTGCTAAATCGGTTCGAGGTGCAAGGGCACTCATTTGGAGGTTACTGACAAAAAGGAGAGAGATTTTAACCATTTTTCAGTGTAAAGGAACGCGTTGCATTAATAAAGCTATTCGTGTATGGAAACATCTAATGACAGAAAAAAACTTGGACTTTGTGAACTGACAACATTATACTTTTTCTCGCGAACACGACGAATAATTGACTCAACAGTTTTACTTGTAAAACAAGCTGTGGTTCTCCAAGCCAATTTGCTCGAAAGGACGAATATCCCTTTATACCGTGGATTATCCCTATCTTGCGTGAAAACTTCAGTTGCGAAAGAAATGATCAACACTTGTTACTCATTTTCGTCTTGAGATTTTTATTTATATTTATTCCTTCAAGTGCTGTTAACATCTTCCATGGCGATGCTAGTGATTGGTTTGTTTGTATCTAATGTTGAAATTAAAACATGTTTTGCTCACAACACAGAGCGGTTTTCACTTGAGTGTCGAAAGTAATTCGCACTTGGGTTGGTTTTGCATTTCTCCGTTAAGCGATCGGTGGCTGAACACAGTTTTGCATACCAATATGCCTCATTCAGAATTTTTGTACTGAAAACCCTCGATCCTTCGTTAACAGCACAGACCAGTTCGCTTTATAGTGATTACCAGTTTGTTTATAGTGATTTGATAGTTTAGCTGACGTAAGTGAGTTGCCTTGGCAACATAAACTAGATATAAATAGACCGGCCTTTAAATCGGGTTTTGTTTATTTGCAGAAAATCTAGTCGTTAAAATTTCATCATCATTTGCATTCAACAAACTTATAGCAATTGCTGTTATCCATTGTCAAAGAATAACCATAATTTCCACTGTTAAATTTCCGAGTGTCTTCCGTGAATCCACTACAGTACTTATTTCCTTGCCAAATTTCCAGCATATCCAACGAGTAGTTTTCGAGAAATAGGCGCATTTCGAGAAACCTATGAAAGCATTCAGTCTCAATTTTTTGACTAACTATCGCATGCACTGTATTTAATTGTTTCAAGTTACTAACGAGATACCAGATCAAAAAGGTCAAAATAGGTTTGGAGTCAGAAATTCAATAAGGAAAAGTAAAATCTACATGTGATTTCAAAACTTGAACTACAAAGTCCTTTCATGTCTTTTACTTGAGTATTACACACTTGATACCCGTTTTGGAGAAAGTGGGGTCGAAGATTTGTTGGAAAAACACTTTGTAATGTTGATTAAAAAAAAAATTATTTCACAAGAACATGATCGCCATCATCTCGATTCTCGAGGTTAACTAAGCTCTTCGTTTCTGAGAACTGCTCGGGTTGAAGCTTAAACGAACAACTTGGAGCGCCTTGCTCGACCTAGTCGTGAAGGAATGAATATGAAGTGGGTTAATCAAACAACTGCAGACCTTGTCTTGTCCACCTTCACCCAGGCGGAGTAGTTCATAAGAAAAACCGAATTAGGATACAGACATAGATATGTAACGTAAAAGTCACGCAAAAACTGAGCAAACAAGAGGGTTTTCCAAGAAATTGACCTTCGGTTTCGAAGCGGCGACGGCTGATTTTATGCGTGCTTGCCTGATAAATTTTCTTTAAGAGTGGAGAAGGAAACAGTCACATCGATATGATTCAGAGAGACATGCTGAATCCTTCAGCTGGGGCAATTAACTTTAGCGACTTGGTGATGGCACTTTTGATGTAACTTATGAGGTAATAGAGTTCATTATAAAAGTTTGATCTAAACGATCTTTGACGGTCTGAGTGCTTCGGTTCTTTGTAATGCTGTCGCGGCGAAGATAAAACCCTGAACAAAATCTTCAACTTCAAAAGTGATTGTCACCAGCAGTGCACACCGGTTCCATGCAGAAAACTTAAACGAGCGTCTAGGTTGACCGCTAGAATACTCCAGAAATGAACTCAAAAAGGACGAGTCAAACCGCCGCCTGTCTTGACTGCTAACGAGAGATGGTTCACTTAAAACTGGATTTGAAGCCAAATGTGGTCTTGAGTGATTAAGGGTGAGGTGTAGATGGCAGCTTACACTAAAGCGAATCGACGCTCAAGACCGAAAACGATGGTTCACGGATGGCCAGATTACACACCGTGATATTACTAAACGAACTCAAGAATTGACGCGACAGACATGGTCGCCCCGGAACTGTCAGTTCGGGGTCATTACAGAGAGAAAACCGAATTCTTGGTAAGTTGTTTTCTACTATAGTAAAGAGCTAACTGTTATCACGATTTCCTAGAAAAGCAATTTACAATGCCATTATCATGGGGATCTATAGGCATTCCTGATGTGTGCAAATTCAATGATAAAGCATCATCAACATGATCCAGACATCAGCATTGCATTCACAGTCAAGCTCTGCTCAATGGTTCAACACTGCGAATAAAAAGCTCTCGTAGACATGGAATACAACAAAGATGATCAACTAAGCGTTCAAACTCAAAGACAGTAAAGGGTCACGACAGAACGCATAAAGTAAAAACACGTTCTTTAATATCCTGATGCGCGGGAAAAGGCCGGTATTTCAGATCACTGGCAGGAGTTTGTTGCTGAATAATTTGGGCATGTAACAGCTTTTTCTAGCTTTTTCCCCCCAAAGTAATACAAAACAACTTTTTCCAGTCAATCGAAAAAGCAACAGTCTGATAAAATTACGAAACTTCCCAGTGCCATCTCTTGGAGTTTTAGTTTATTCCAAAAATTCTAAAAAAAATCCGAACCAAAAAATAAAACTTTACCACCTTTGATCTTCGCGAAGTTAATATCTCGGCAACTGAAAAATCTTGCAAGACAGACCGAATAAATTTTCCGCTGCAACGGTTTTCGGCACACCAAATGATCACGATAGATCATGAGCTTTTCCGAAAAATCGATCGCAACTAGTAATTTTATGCTTACCTGATACATTTCTGTAAACTAAAGTGATAACGCAGAGTGGCGAAAACTTATACTGACGAAATACAGCAAACGTTTGCTGATCTTTCGACGAATTTATACGACTGACAGAATGCAGCAAGCCGATCTTCCACAAACAGTTTCGGTTGGCAACATAACAGTCAGAATCCAACAGCGACTTGGCAATGGTACTTTTGGTGTCGTCTACAAAGTCAAAGACGAGGCGAGTTACAAAGACTACGCGTTAAAAGAAGTTCTTTGTTTGAACATCTCGGCCCTTCATAATGCTGTCCGCGAGGCTACAACACTGAGCAAAATTTCTCATCAGAACGTGATTGCTGTCATGGGAGCAGACCAGTTTCGAGATAGTAAAGGTTTACACATGCTGCTTTTGACTGAGTATTGCTCGGGTGGAAGTTTAAACGACCGCCTTGCTCGACCGAGTAGTGAAGAAATGAATATGAAGTGGATTTGTCAAATAGCTGCAGCTCTTGCACACCTCCACTCTAGCGGAGTGGTTCACCGCGATTTAAAGGCGGATAATGTGCTTTTAACCGCAACAGAGGATGTGAAATTGGCTGACTTTGGCCTCGCTCGCGAGTACATCGCACTCAAACGAATCGATGCTCACCGAGACGATTGTTCCTGGATAGCCAGTTACATGCAATACTACNGCAACAGAGGATGTGAAATTGGCTGACTTTGGCCTCGCTCGCGAGTACATCGCACTCAAACGAATCGATGCTCACCGAGACGATTGTTCCTGGATAGCCAGTTACATGCAATACTACATGAACTCAGGAGTTGGTCCCATACACTGGGTGGCTCCTGAATTCTTCACTGATCGTTACACCGAAGAAGCCGATGTGTTTTCCCTTGGTACCTTGTTTTTCGCGATCCTAGAGCGTGATTTTATCGTGATTGATGACAAAGCAATTTACGGTGCCTTCGTAAATATTCATATTTACGATGCCTTCGGAAATATTCTTGGTGAGCGCAAACTCGGCCTTGGGTATGCCATGGCAAAGGTTCGCCCCGGTATCAGCATTACGTTTTCAAGGCGTGCTCAAGGGTCTAGCGCTTTGCAAAGGGTCGTTCTTGAGGCCTTGCAGTACGACAGAAATGATCGACCAAGCGCTCAGGACATGTACCGTAAAGTCTTGAACATTCACCAAGCCATACGGTCCCTTCAACAGAACTTACAGCCGTCGCTTCAGCAACAGTTCTCGCCCCAACAACAGCTGTCGTTCCAACAACAGCAGTCGCTCCAACAACAGCTGTCGTTCCAACAACAGCAGTCGTTCCAACAACAGCAGTCGCTCCAACAACAGCTGTCGTTCCAACAACAGCAGTCGCTCCAACAACAGCTGTCGTTCCAACAACAGCAGTCGCTCC